TTCAATTATTAATATATATACATATGGATGACATGTGCTAATTAATAGAGGAAAAAAAAAAAAAAAGAAGCTGAGAGGCGCAGCAAAGAATGTTGCAGCAGGCCGTAGGAATTGCAGCAGGCCGTAGGAATTGCAGCAGGCCAAAGCAATTTCAGTAGGTCGTAGCAATTGCAGCAGGCCAGGGGAATTGCAGCAGGCCAAGGGAATTGCAATAGGCCACGCGAGGAGAAGGAAGGCATGCGGGAGGAGAAATATTGTAGAATTTATAGAGAAGGGGTTGGGGTATATAAATAACTTTCAGCAACAAAACCTTTGTTGCTGAAAGTTTACTCTCTATTAGCAACCTATACCATGTTGCTAAAACTCATTTGAATCTGAATTCTTTTACTCATCACCGACATGCATTATGTTGCTAAAATTTAAAATAAAAAAAACTCCCACCACACTATCAAATGATTAAATTTTAAATGATTAAAATTTTTATCAACATAACTCTTGTTGTTGAAAGTTACTTTCAGCAACAAGAGACATGTTGCTGAAAATGGAGTCCTTATTTGGGGAGAAAAGTGCGGTGGAGGACTACCAAAAAATATCAACAACATACCCCATGTTGCTGAAAGTGAAGCAGCTTTTGGAGGGTAAAAGTGTACTGCATAGCTTTCAGCAACTAAAACCTTGTTGGTGATATAATTTTTCAGCAAGAAAGGATTCTTTGTTGCTGATATTTGTTGCTAAAAGTCAAAATTTTAGTAGTGATCTTTTCCGGCGACGTTGGAAATAAAGTGAGGAAACTTCATTGGCAAAAGGTGCATATTCCCTTTAAAATTGTTGTATTAGAGTAAATTGCCACTTAGAAAAATATTAATGCAATTTACCATCTCAAATTTTCATTTTAAAAAAATTAATCTAAATTTAACAGTTACCGTTAACTTTTTAAGAGCAATAATTTAACAAATTTAACATCAATCGTTAAATTTGAGCCAATTTTTTAAAAATAGAAATTTAAAATGAAAAATTATGTTAATATTATTTTAAATGGTGATTTACTTTAATGCAATAATTTTGGAGGGCAATTTACACATTTTGCCAAATTCATTTACCATTCTAGTCAAATATACAAAGCAATAGGGTAAAATCCTTCATTTGTCCGTAACGTTTTTAACATGGTGACAGTTTCATTCATAACATTCTTTGTTTGTACAATTAGTAGACCCAACCTTTTCAAAGATGTCCATTATGGTCCTTCGATCCACTTGGACATTAAATTTAATAAAAAAAACAATCACATGACAAATAGTGAGGCCCTCATTAGACCCTTCAAGTAAGAAAAAACTTAATCCCTTCATTTATTTTTAATAAACTTAGTTTCTTGGAGCATTAAAATTTTGTTATTCATTTTTATTTTTTAAATATTATTTAATGCATTTATTTTTATTTAACTTTTATTTTAAAAAATAATTACAATATATATTGAATAAAAAAATCTTATTTAAATAATATTTAATTAAAAATAAATATAAAATTTTATCAATAAATTATTATATCTATATTTTATTTAGTAAAAATACTAAAATTTACTAAAAGAAGAACAAAGAAGTAACTTTTTTTTATCTCTCCTCCATGTAATATATTGGTCATTCAACACATCATCAAACTCTATTAGATTTAATGTCCGAGTTTGATAGAAATACCAGTGTGGACCTTTCTCAAAGGATCTGGAATAGTTATGACTTGAAACGAAAGGTTAGGGATGAAACTGTCAATACATTAAAAAAGCATAAGAATGAAGAAAAATCCCTTCGAAACATTATTCAACTTATAAAATTTGAGATTATTTGCTTCCCAAGACACATGCAAAATTTTATTTTGATTAGCATGGACATGCAAAATGTGCTCTAATTTCACAAAAACAAAATTCTAAGACTTCCAAAAGCTCTTGAACACAGCAAAATTGAGCACAAAATTACCTCGATGGAATGATCATTTTAGTTGGGGTGATAATCTTAAATCCTGTGAGTTGGAGGGTTTTGCCAAGAAGAAAAAAGGGCAACTTTCTTTTTTGTTTTTATTAACCTTTTGATATCATATTAGATATCAACTAATTTAAAATGGAATTATATTTAATTTCATAAAAGAAAAACTCTTTTAACACATATTTTTTTATTTATAAAATTTAAATTAAAAATTTTATTTTAAAAAAATCAAATTTTTTTCAATTCAAATAAAAAACCATTGATTGAAAAAAGAGAAATTTATCAAAATGGAATAAGGCACGCGCATCTTTTTATTTTTCACGTGGATCATGTCCGGTTGTTCCTTCCATGTAGTCAAAATCCTACCGCCGACGTATTTTTTTAAAACATTTTTTAATGTAAATTTTTTTTGTTTAAAATTATAAAATATAGGGTAAATAAAATCGTATTAATATAATTTTTAAAATTTTTTATATAAATAATATTAATTGTATAATATAATACTAGAATAAACTTTTTCATTATTCTTGGCCATCAATTCCCTCCTATTTTGAGAGTATACTATTTTGTAATTTACTGTAAAATAAAACTTTTAAATAAAACAAGGCCTCAATATTAAGCAAATAGTTTTTTAATTAAAAATTTTTATTATGAAATTTAAATTGTACAACACTCTATATTTTTAGTTTAAACGTTTGTCTCAACAAATAAGGTTGTAGAACCCGACTTTTGGGTTTTAATAGTTTTCCCCAAACATTTAACTATTTAAGTACTTGGATTTATTAATTGAGATTTCAAATTTTATCAATATCTTGAAATTTTTATTTCTTTTCTCTCAAAATTATACACTGTTCAAAAAATGAGGTTGTAGTTTTTGGAGCCGAGCTGAGAGAGATGAGAACCGGTTAAGAGCTGTTGTAAAGGGAGAGAGAGAGAATAATATATAGAGTATCTCTATATATATATTTTGTTGGTAGTGTGGTTGGAAGGTATCATCCGCATGTGCACAATGTGCTTCGGTGGCCACAACGAACCGCAACCATGTAGGTGCACAAGGCCTCTACTATCTGTCCCACTTCCTGTCCGTGTCCCACATCGTCCTTCCAGTGTACATATATATTATATATATATCGGCCAGCAAGAGGGCCTACCTTTATGGACCCCACAACCCCAAGGAAACGAACCTCCCTGATGGGACCGGGACCCACACACGTGGCATCTTCTTCGTCGTCCATGTAACGTTTTACTTTGTAGCCTTTGCCCAATTGGTTCTTCATATTAACCAAAATGCCCTCCCATAAAGTTTAGTTTTCTCTTTCTTTTTTATATTTGGTTAAAATATCAATTTGGTCTCTCTTCTTTCAGATCTATATCAAAATTATCTATTAATTTCAAAAGGTACCAAAATTATCTCAAAATTTTAATTTTTAATGTGAAAAATTCCTTCTATTAACAAAAGTGTCACGCAACTCGTTATTTTACTACAAAATTAATTTTTTTAAATATTAATAAAATATTAATAATGTGTAAAATCAAACAATTATATTTTATTATAATAAAATATTTTTATTTATATATTAAATTGATATAAAATCAAAATTAAAAAATCTTATTAATATTTTAATCAAAGTTTAAAGACTAAATTAGTATTTGTCTTCAAAGTTTGAGGACTATTGTGATATCAAAAATTAAAATTTAAGAATAATTTTAGTATTTTTTGAAGTTAAAAGATAATTTTGGTGCAAATCTAAAAGTTGAGGGACCATGTAATATGAAATATATTTATTGCAATTTTGGTGGGCTGTGGTTCTCTAATAATTTTTTAAACTTATAAGAAAAAAATATTTATAAACAAGGTAACGAATAAATTCTATCCAATAAATTCTTAATTTTTGTTGTCATTATTGTAATAAGTGTTATTTATTTTAATTTTTTCAATGATTAGGTAAGGACCTAAATGTTAAACAAAAAGGGGGCCACCGCCTCCTCTCTACTCATGAGCTGTACCTTGCCATGTACTCCTCAAATTGATACCAAATTAGCCCCATACCATATGGCTTCTTCTTTTTTTTTTTTTTTGCATTTATATGATTAGTAAGCCAAAACAAAATCCCACAATAGATTACTTTAAAGATTTTGGCTTCTTCTTTCGGAAGCAAAACTATAAACTAAATAATTTTAACTGTTTATGTATATTATTTTTAATAACTCGATAACTATATGTGGACATGATGATATATAAGTATTTGTACAATTAATTAAGTTATAAGTCTTAATATCAACATACGTTATTTAAAAAAGTGATCGATAAAACTATAAACTATAATTATTATTACATCTTTAAAGGAATTAATCCCTAAATTTGATATTAATATGTGATGAAAAAACAAGTTATATCCATGTTAGAATTGAAATATTAACAAAAAAAAAATCCTTATTAGAATTAAAAAATTCATCAAACATGCACGTCCAACATAAAATAAATAATTTTAGGTGAAGAGACTTATATATAAAACTAAAAGTTTTTCTTGTTGATTAATGTAAATTTTCTTCACTTTAACGCATCCACATACACATATAAATCCCAATTAAATCTCATATACCATCACATGGGAGAAAACCTTAAGTACTTTGTTTTTGTTTTTTTATTATTATTAATGATATATACTTTCAATAGAATATTCCACGTGAGATTCTCTTTATTATAATAATATCACCTAAACAAAGTCTCAATTATTATGGCAGGTGAGCCCATTTCGGTAATTTCACAGTCGTACACCCCTTACCCTCCTCAACTATCCTTCCCTTTTTTGACTAGAGGCCAACAAACCTTCACTTCCACCTGCCACGTCACCTGCTCCCCCGGATTGCCAAGTCACCC